TTCCAATATCTCAGGGGTGCCACAAAGAAGAGGGAGTCAAGTTATTCTCCAAAGCACCTGCAGGCAGGACAAGAAGCAACGGATAGAAACTAATCAAAAAGAGAAGCAGCCTAGAACTAAGGAGAAATTTCCTGACAATTAGAACAATTAATCAGTGGAACAACTTGCCTTCAGAAGCTGTGAATGCTCCAACACTGGAAGTTTTAAAGAAGATACTGGACAACCATTAGTCTGAAATGATATACGGTTTCCTGCCTGAGCAGGGGATTGGGCTAGAAGACCTCCAAGGTCCCTTCCATTATTATTATTGTTGTTCTATGTGTGAATAGTAAACACACGGATGTTCAGGTAACATACCAGGACACTTTCATCTGTTAATCTCCATAGGTTTGACATATTTGTAACATCAACAAAAAAGTAGGATATTTTATTTGGCCGTGTGATTAGAAACATAAGGAATTTGTCTCCGATGCAGAAGCTCTCATTATACATGCAAAGCAATATAATCACCATTACCATCATCCCTCCAATAAGGGCTGGGTAGGTAAAGAAGATAAAAAGGATAAGTGATACTACTATAGCCATACTACATGGGTAAATATACATAGACATTGGGCAGGGGGAAAAACTGTCCCTGTATCCAGTTGTTTTGGCATGCAATGGCCTTTAGTGCCACCCGAGGGGAAGAGTTGAAAAAGTTTATGTCCAGGATGTCAGGGGTCTATAGATATCTTCTCAGCCCTCCTTCTGACCTGCACAATATACAAAGTAAATATACAATCTACAAGTAAAAGGCAAGAACTGTAAAGTTAATTTTGTAGTTTATCTTGGTTTTGAATTATGTTCGCAAGGGCTTTCTGAATGGCTTATTTTAAGGAAGTAAATCTCAGTTTATTGCCGACTACTGATTACAACTGTGGTTTAATGTGATGAACTAATTATATTTTTTGATTTGTACTTGATCCATCCAAATCTCAAAATAATCCCTAAGAAGCAAAAGAGTAGAACAAAAATAAAACCAGAAGCATTCCTACACCAATTTTTAACATGATACATGAATATAACATAGAAATCTGACAGAAGCACTGTATATACTTGTAATATATTTATGTAGGAATCGCACATTTTTCATGGTACTTTTATATAAAATTTGAGGATCTGCTTGTCCACAGATGGGCTTATCTGGGAGTATATGGAATATATGGGTATTTTTAAAAAGCTGAGGGAAATGTCTATCATATATATTCATGGATAAGACCATCTGCAGGTAAGCCAAACCCAATTTCTTGGGTGTATTTTGGCATCTAAAATTCTGAGTATATACAGTGCACAATAATTTCAAAACTATGCTGATGTTATCTGAGAGATGAATAAAGTCTCTTCCTACTTGTCTGTTCACAGAGAAAAGGTCAAACCTCCTCCAAAGCACCTGAGGGCAGGACAAGAAGTAACAGATGGAAGCTTTTCAAGAACCAATCTAGAACTAAGGAGAAATTTCCTGACAGTGATAATTAATTAGTGGAATAACTTGTCTCAAGAAGTTGTGGGTGCTCCCTTACTGGTTTTTGAGAAGAGATTAGACAGCCATTTCTCCGGAATGGTATAAGGTCTCCTGCTTAAGCAGGGGGTTGGACTAGAACAGGGTCCCCAACCCCCGGTCCACGGCATGCCAGCAACCGGTCTGCACAAACAAGCAAAGCCCCATCCGTGGGATGCAGGCAACACATTAACCACACACTCTCTGATCCATGGAAAAACCTTTCTCCATGGAGCCGATCCCTGGTGCCCAAAAGATTGGGGGCCTCCAAGATCTCTTCCAATTCTGTTATTCTGCATTAAATATCCTTTACAAACCCTCAATAATCCTATTGTGCAATAGCGGCCTTCCTTAAATGTTACCCTTCAGATATGCTAGGATGCATTTAGGCACTTCAGATTTTGTAGGCACCTGGCTAAGGAAGACTTCTTCATATCAGAATATTTCATTCCATACCTTGTGTGAATACACGGCTCCAATGTCAATTTTATATGGACATAATTTTTGGATTTCTTTTTCCAACTCCTGTGGGGTGTTGAAAGACTGATACCGCACATAGATATCATCACGGAGTGTGAATGAGAACTCCCGTCGCTGAAAATAGTTCTTTGACACTACAAAAGGAAAATACACAATCCCATCTTGGTTTCATGGTAGAACATAAGAATATTTCCTCAAATCTCAATTCTTCTATAAATCCATGAGATNCTAAAGTGGCCTCTGACGACCTCCAGTGGTTCCCCCTCGCCCAGTCTCATCGTGAAGTGTGGGTTTTGCCCGAGAGCTTATCCATTCATTTATACTAAGTCTGGTTTTCTACTTCAGCGAATATTCAGATATCTAGAAACAGTGGATTATTCGAAGATTTTAAAAATGTAGCGAGAAGGAAGAACACTCGCAGTACAGCCGAACTTTCCTTTAGTCTGTGAGGAAGCCTCCACAATGGAAGCTTAATTTGCGGTGTCCTTTTAGACCAGCGTTTCTCAAACGTAGCAAATTTAAGATGTCTGCATGACTCCCAGAATTCCCCAACTAAAAACACTGCTATAGCTGCAATCTAGTTTGCCAAAATACAAACTGGCTAACAGCACTTGTTAAAAGTCTGGTGATAGGTGGATTTTTGCTAGTGGCAAAATCATCCATCAGTCGTACTTCTTCAGCAATTCTAATTTTTTCTGCATCCTATGGGCATTTTCCATCGCACCTAATCTCAGCACAAACATGCTGTGACAACAGCTTTTTTTTCCTGCTTTGTCCCCAATGACATGCTTTTAATTTCATTCCCAGTCCATTCTGGGCAGGCTGAAGTCATATATACCTAAATATTTTGACTTAAGGGCACTTGTTTTTGTACATGGTAACTGCATCGAGACATTCATTCATTCATTCATCCAACATAGCCAACATACTTTCCTCCTTCTCCTATTTTTCCCATGATAATAACCTTGTGAGATGAGTTGGACTGAGAGAAGGTGAATGGCCCAAAGTCACCTGGCTGGCTTTCGCAGCTAAGGCGGAACTAGAACTCATGGTCTTCAGCTTTCTAGTCTGGTGCCTTAACCATTATGCCAAATGACAAACTGGCAAACATACGCAAAGATGGAAAGATTCTAAAATACCCACAACAGAGGAATAGTTGGTGAAAATGACAGAATTTGTAGAGGTGGCAAAATTGATTTGTGTAATTGGATAAAGGCATTTGTTAATGACTAATAACACTTTATGGACTTTTTGCTTAAAACAGAAAAAATGAACTTGTAATTTATGGGTCTGATGATTAGAATGATAGAATATGGAAAGAAAGAAATCATTATGTAACTTTAGAGAGACAGAGAGAATGAAATATAATTGTCTTTATAACTGCTATAAAGAAGATTGGAAGCCACTCCTTTATATCTTTTTTTCTTTCATGTCTTTTTTCCATTCATTTCTATTTATCACTTTTTCTTTACTTTCTTTTTAAAATCTATATTTTTTTTACTTTGTGAAAAAACTGTAATAAACATTAATTTTTATTTTTTTTAGTATTTTTACAGTATGTAGATTAGTCTACTGTATCACTGGGATGATTTTAATTTTAGTATTGAATGTAAATTGTGTTGCTCAATAATCAAAATAAATGACGATGACCATTGAATGCCAGGTTCCTGTTAAAGTAATGTTTTCTGGTTTATTCTAACACCATCGAAATGAAGCTTCACAGTGTATAAAATTTGCTGAGCGTTGTTCCCCATTGCCTTGGAGAGAAGTGGAAGGGCTGCAATGACTTCAGGCAAAAGCAGGATAGGGATTAGTAATGGGATCAGCAAATCTTATGCAGTCATGTTGTTTTGCCAGCTCAAGGATGATTTAGCAATTAGGAAAGGTTCAAAGTCTGGTGGCCAAAACTGAAATTTCAGAGCTACAAGGAAGCCTCAGAGAAAACCAAACTGGCAATCTTTCATTTGCATTGAAATTATATATGGGATTATGAAACTAGAGAGAATGAATTGTGAAATTGACTATTGATATAATTGGTATTAAGTAAGCTTAACTGCTTAACAACCAGTATGTTCACTTTTTTAATGATTCAGTAAAACAAGTAATCATAAAAAGGGTAACTTGTGTATCTTTACTAAGGGTACAAATTCCAAAGTATAAATTGTCTCTTTCTATCCACCTTTCTACCCTGGCAAGCACTCAAGACTCAAAACAAAATTTCAAAACAAAAATAATATGAAAATGTAGATTAAATATAACAATAAAACAAATAGTGAATCATTTAATGGTGAAAAGTCTAGTGACAGAGATGCCTATTTACAGATCTCCCAATTTTTGAGAAAATGCTGGCCAAACACTTGGGGAAATGCATTCCATGGCTTGGAAAAAACGTCAGAGAAACTTTTTCTCACATGCCAGCGTGGCAAGTCTCTGACAGTGCAGAGGCCTATTTCTGCTGAGCTAAACAGTCAAAGTGATAACAGGAAAGGCAGCCCTTTAGGTAGTCAGACCCCAAACTGTTTAAGGCTTTAAAACTGAATACAACATATTTAATTGTGCCCACTAAGCAACCGGCAACCAGTACAGACCGTTCATGTCAGACATCACACATTTTCAGTGGTTAGAAATCTGGATGCTTCATTTTGCATCAACTGCAACCTCTAGACCCATTTCAAGAATAACCCTCTGTGGGTTTCCGGTTTGCGATTGCGGTGCTGGTGGATGTGTGGAGAGGCTGCTCTCTCCACCGTCCGGTTTTTCTCCGTCAGAAGACCCTGCAAAGGGGTTGAAAGTCGCCCAGGAGGGGCGACCACCACCGAGGAGGACCCTCAACGACCGCGGAAGGGCAGAAACCCTTCCATTGGATCCAAGGCAGCTCCTCTGGACTGACAAAGAAAAGATCGGCCATTAACCTGGCCGATCACCAAGCCGTTCCTGCCAAAAGCCCAAAGCACTACTAAGCACGACGAAAGCAACCTGGAGGAGTTGGGTGAGACCTTACCTTACCTTCCCTGCTTCCCATCTATTTTCCTGTAAAAGCCTGTGAATACCTTCTTCCCCCTTCTCAATTCTGCGACTCCTGCCTACTTTGGGAATATAAAGCTAAGGCAAGAAAAAAAAATAGAACTAGACTAAATGACTAAATATTTGGACTTGTAATTTCTGGATACCTGGGCTCTCAAAAAATTCTTTATTCTTACAGAGACTTATTGTTTTGTTTGTTTGCTAAGCTGGAAAAAAAAGAGGAATATTTCTTTCTTTCTTCTTTGAACCGGATAACAGGTTAACTGTGCATTGCACTAGGGACATCTTGTAACAAAACGTGGTACAGCAAGTGAATTTTTTTTTTTCTGGGAGATTTCTGAGACTAAAATTTGTCCTTGACATTATCAAAAAAGATAAGAACCTGAAACAGCTAGGTGGTGAAAATAATTTTCTATAGTGGAGGTGGATTCCTATTGACTTTCATTAAAATAGCCTCCGCTAAAGGACTATTTGCAAATACTACAGAAGTGGAGGAACACCACCCACAGCTTAACTTCAAATTTATACTTGAAAAAATCTTAGAATTCCAGACTGAAAGATATACATACCACCTTAAAGCTACAAAACACAGCCCTGACTCCAATAGATGAACTTACAACCCAAAAAGCAACAGAAGAAGAAGGAATTAATACCAAAGTGGATTTCAAAGAATGCCAGCTACAATCTACTCAGAACTTTGATATCCAAACTTTGATTGCATCCAAAGAATCTGCAACTTCAACAGCAACAGAAACTGAAGAAAGCAACACTAAGACGGAAGATGCTAAAGACTTACATATACAATACACTGAGAATTCAGATAACCCAGATGACCAAAAAACAACTAAACACTGAATATGACCTTTCATCTAAACCAGCTGAAATCAGAAGAAGATCAGCCTGAACTCATGACAAATACACTAAACCAAATATGGAGATTTAAACTATCAGGCCAACAATTTAATGACTATGAAGGGACTAGCTTCCTTGATAGGCTGATGACTGGATGGTCTCCCTTGATTCAAATGACATATGCAGGAATGCAGAGAGATCCACCCGAGGATTTAAAAGCTCTGTTATGGAAGCCTGTGTGGCACAAAAGGAAGGCCAGAGTTAGATTTAAAAATGGTTTTCTTTAAGTGACCTCTAATGGAAGAGCTTTAAATCGTACTTAATGGGATAAGGAGATTTTAAAAGATATCAATTGATGTAATATTCAGGATTTATATTTACAAGGGAAATAAATTAGTTACTAGCAGGGCTTTTTTTCAGCCGGAACGCGGCGGAACCGCGTTCCGGCACCTTTTTCCGGGCCGGCCGCACCGGAAATAGCCCCTCCCAAATTTTACTTGCATTCCTGTTCTCTAAAGGGGCGGTCCTAGGGTTTGATGAGGGCGTGGCCAGGTTTGAGTTCCGCCACCTTTTCTCCGAGAAAAAAAGCCCTGGTTACTAGAATAATAGTTTTGAATTATAACATAGAACAGTGGTGGTGAACCTATGGCACACGTACCAGAGGCGGCACTCAGAGCTCTCTCTGTGGGCACACGTGCCTCCTGCTAACTCGCCGAGGTCCCACGTAGGCGGATGCATCCCAGCACGGCTCGTTTCCTTCCCCCCCATCCCTCCTGGCCTTGCATGCTCTCCTTTTCCCTCGCATGACCCACTGCATCGCCTTCTCAGCTGTCAGCCGGCCATCCAGCTCAGAGGTGGCTTCTTTGAACTGCTAGTGGCGGGCTGTGGAGCCCCAGAGTGCACCAGTCGAGGGGCTGGCCCCCATGCGCTCACTGACCTCTGTGTGCGGGGGCCGATGGTGTCAGGCAGCAACCACCCCAGCCCTTGCCTTTCCCCATGGCAATGGCACCCCCACCCTGCTTCACCTCACTCCATAGGACGAGCCTCCTGCCTACCGCCCCACCTGCCAGAGACCCTCTGGATCTCCCCCAACCCTGCCCACTCCCCACAGGCATCCCTCCCCATGAGCAACAATGAGGTGACCATGCCCACCTTGGCCACACCCACCCAATCTGCCATGACCACCACAGCTACGCCCACCCAGTGGGCCATGCCCACCTGGCACCCAGCAATAAATAAGTTTGTTTTGAGTTGCAGTTTTGGCACTCGGTCTCTAAAAGGTTCGCCATCACTGACATAGAAGATGGATTCAGAGTATAAGTTATTTTATTAGTAAGCGATGAATATGATTGTGGAATAAACTAAGAATTTATTTGAATAAATATAAGTATATTTTAGAAATGATAACTATTTTGTAATGAACTAAGGCACAGGTTGGCAACCTGCAGCCCCGGAGCCACATGCGGCTCTTTGAGCCTTCCCCTGTGGCTCCCAGCCTCCTCTGCCATTTGCAGAGAGAGACAGAGACAGAGAGAAGCACTTGCGCTTCCCTGCTTCTCTCTCTGTCTCTGTCTCTCTCTCTGTGTGTGTTTGTGTGTGTGTATGTGTAAAAGAGAGTAGACTCACAGTGTTCTCTGACAAGCTGAAAAGCTTTTTGGGCGGGGCTCCTGCCTTTGCTGCGTCTCTGCAGGAAGCAGGAAGGGCAGGAGAGTGCTAGCTAGCCCAACTATGCTGACTCAGGAATTCTGGGAGTTGAAGTCCATGAGTCATAAAAGAGCCGAAGTTGCCTATCCCTGAGCTTGTTGGAGAACAGCTTGAAGCCAGCTTGCCAGGTGAGCAGAAGATCGGAGAGAGGGAGAGGGGGGGGAGAGAAAGAGAGAGAGAGGGAGAGAAAGAGAGAGGGAGAGAAAGAGAGAGAGAGGAGAGAGACCCTTTTGACATCTAAAATGAAGATAACACTGCATATATCCTTTTTTAACCTTTATTATTTATATATATATATATATATATATTTTATTTGTATATATGTGTTTATATATATGTGTGTATTTGTGAGTGCTTTTTGAACATACTGTGTATGTATATACAGTATATATATGTGTGTGTGTATATATATGTGTGTATATATACATATGTATGTGTGTGTGTGTATATATATATTTATACACACATATATATATATACACATATATACACACATATATATACACATATATATATACACACACATACACACATATATATACACACACACATACATACACACATACACACATACATATAATAAAGGTAAAAAAGGATATATGCAGTGTTATCTTCATTTTAGACGTCAAAAGGGTATTGCGGCTCCCAATGTTTTGTTTTCAGTGGGAAATGGGTCCAAGTGGCTCTTTGAGTGTTTTGGGTTGCCTACCACTGAACTAAGGGAACCATGGGCTATCCGAAATCTAAATACTATGGACATTAAGCCAACTGGAATACTGTAATTGAAACCAGATAAAAGTTAAAAACAGGATTTGAAGGCATATAAATTAAAAGTCGTCGATAAATGTTTCAAATGATTGAGTTATAACTAGCAATGTATTAATCTGAAATTTGGTATAATAACTAAGGGAAACAGAGAGGAAATTTTTGATGATGTAAACTGACATATGTATGGAAAAACGCGTTATTTGACTATGTATTACCCAACCACCAAGTTGCTTCCTTAATACCTAAAGCTTTGTTAAAATGGAAAATTAATAAAACTTGTTTAAAAAAAAGAAAAAGAACAACCCTCTGTGGTGCATATAGTGGTGTGTTTCAGTTTAGCTGTGACCTGTACATTATGCAGATGGATAATAGTGAGAGCTACATATCTGAAGTTAATCCTAACTTACACCCTAATGGACTTACACCCTGCCCAGTACAGTCATAGGTTGTGACAGTAGTAAAGTGAGTGACTAACCCAATTTTGAGACTTTTACGGTAGTCATTAAGCCACCATAGCAATCATTAAGTGAACCAATTGTTCTCCAAGGGCCGGTTTTACCAAAAACCAGAAGTAAATGCTAGTTTTTTTTTGCAAAAGTAACATAAAACACAGTCATGCACAGAACTGCAGGACGCTACAAATGGTTGTAAATGTGGACTAGTCAACAAGTGCCTGACATGTGGTCATGTGACCATGATGAGGGGCAGTTGTTGGAACTTTAGAATTGGGTCATAACTAATCCATCATAACTTCAAATAGTTGCTAAATAACCAATCATAATTTGAGGACTACTTGTACAAAAATACCAAATTTCTTGACAAGGAATGGTAGTTCATTCGTAGCAGGAGAGTAGTGAAAATTCACCTCTAGTATGTCTGTGGAGGTTCTCAGTCACCAAGATCATAGTTGTCTCAAAGTAACTTTCACCTCTAGTAAGGTGCTGATTTATTCCAGGTAAAGTTGCATAGACAGAATTCATCTGCTGAGGAGATTATTTGCTAAAGGGAAGTGCAATGAACTACAGAGCAGCTATAGCAAACATCATTTTGTTAACCATTAATCTGTGAATTGGATGTTCCATTCCAATTCTTCTGGGAACATACTGTTGGCCATCGACATCAGAAGGACAACAGATAGAAGAAAAAAGACCAGAAAAATTGGTTTAAGAACAAAACAAAACAGGAAACCCAAAGACCTTAAATTTTATCTTATTTTAATACACAGCAAGCATGTGGTTCTACCTGGCATTGGCAATTTTGCTGTACTTTGTGATACGATCCTATCGAGAAAGACAGCAGGTAGACAACCTGAGAGAAAAACACGTATTCATCACTGGCTGTGATTCTGGTTTTGGAAACCAGCTGGCCAGACAACTGGATGCCCAGGGTCTACACGTGTTGGCTGCTTGTCTCACCCAGAAGGGAGCACAGCAACTGGAGAGACTCACATCGGACCGGTTGAAAACCACCCTGTTGGATGTCACCAGTAGCGAGAGCATTGAGGCAGCAACTGCATGGGTGAAAGAATGTGTGGGGAATAAAGGTACAGTGGCTCAACTGTAAATAGGCTTCTCAATAATCTGGAGCAAATTATAAATTGATTAGGAAAGTCTTCTTGGAGATCAACTATTTCATAAGGCTTATTAGGAAGAGCTCCTTATGAAATAGTAGGAAGAACTCTTTGTGGTATAATTAATCCTAGATCATGAGATTATGTAGCTAGTGCTGATTAAAACATACTTTCAAGGTGTTTTGGCTCTTAATTTAATTTTATTCAAGGAAATTTTCCCTTAGCCTAAAGAACATACATAGAAGATTTTTGAGGACTTTAGATTTTTAACTCTGCTCAGCCTGGGCCAAATTTTCAGTCTCTTTCTTGTGTAAAGTTTTACATACTTGTTGTCTTTTCTTTGCAGGACTTTGGGGCTTGGTAAATAATGCTGGAATTGTGCACCCTGTATCCCCCAATGAATGGCTGACCAAAGAGGATTATATGAAAGTGCTGAACGTCAATCTAATTGGGCTAATTGATGTGACACTGCATATGTTGCCCTTGGTGAAGAAGGCCAGGGGAAGAGTGGTTAACATGTCCAGCATCATGGGTCGACTTAGTACCATGGGAGGTGGCTACTGTCTCTCAAAGTATGGAGTGGAGGCTTTCTCTGACAGTCTCAGGTAATCTCATGCCACTTCAAAGAGCAGGTTTGAGTGGATGTTTGAGAAGGAGTAAATGTTTCCATGTTCCTGGGTTCAGATAGATAAGGAGGAGGAAAGTGGAACTCAGTCAAGGGCTTTGCTAGGTGTGTCTTTTATATCTGATCCGATTTAGGAAAATGGGCCAAGTTATTATTTGGTTAAACTGTTGATGAAAATAGTTTATTCTTTTAAAATCAATCTGGTTTGAAAAGTTTAGCAATACAGTTAACATATTTATTTTGTCTTCTTTTGAACGTATAACCTGCCTTTCCTCCAGGAACTTAAACTGGCATATATAGTAGTATTATCACCATAATGATTCTGTAACATAGGCCAGGCTGAGAAAGGTATAATGGGTGGCTTTAGTTCAGTACATGCTTGCCGAAATAGAAGAATCTCTGCCATGAAATCCCATGCAGAGAGAGCAATAATTTATTAGTATTCATTAATAATCAAGTGGAAAAAAAGGCAGGAATTGCTTAAAGACGCCTGGAGAGCAGTTGGAGGGCGAGCCGAACCGAATTCGACCGAACACAGGCAAGGATACAGGTTAGATCCTACCTAGTGGCGATGAGGGTGGCGAGGTCTAACTACTACTCCACCCTCATTGCGTCATCAGATAATCGCCCGGCCACCCTCTTCAGGGTGACCCACTCTCTCCTTCAGCTGAGGGGGGGAGGGGATTCCCTGGAGGGGAGGGCCGAGGATTTTGCTCAATATCTGTATGACAAAGTCGCTCGGATTCGAGAAGGTCTTGACTCTGACTGGGTGGCCCCGGGGGAGGAGTCAGGAGTAAGTCTTGAGACGGTTATATGGGAGGAATTTGACTCTGTGGCTCCTGAGGATGTGGACAGGATTCTCGGGAGGCTGAATGCAACCACATGTTTACTGGATCCGTGCCCCTCCTGGCTGGTACTGGCTGCCCGGGAGGGTACACGAGCCTGGCTCCAGGGAATTATAAATGCTTCTCTGTGGGAGGGTGTCTTCCCCGTAACCTTGAAGGAAGCGGTGGTGAGGCCCC